CTTGATATGTCACTGTGACATAAGGCAAGACCAACTGAGGCTTGATATGTCACTGTGACATAAGCAAGACCAACTGAGGCTTGATATGTCACTGTGACATAAGCAAGACCAACTGAGGCTTGATATGTCACACTGTGACATAGACCAACTGAGGCTTGATATGTCACTGTGACATAAGGCAAGACCAACTGAGGCTTGATATGTCACTGTGACATAAGGCAAGACCAACTGAGGCTTGATATGTCACTGTGACATAAGGCAAGACCAACTGAGGCTTGATATGATATGTTACTGTGACATGAAGATATGTTACTGTGACATGAGGCAAGACCAACTGAGGCTTGATATGTCACTGTGACATAAGACAAGACCAACTGAGGCTTGATATGTTACTGTGACATAAAGCAAGACCAACTGAGACTTGATATGTCAATGTGACATAAGGCAAGACCAACTGAGGCTTGACATGTCACTTTGAAATAAGGTAAGACCAACTAAGGCTTGATATGTCACTGTGACATAAGGCAAGACCAACTGCAACTTGATATGTCACTGTGACATAAGACAAGACCAGCTGAGGCTTGATATGTTACTGTGACATAAAGCAAGACCAACTGAGACTTGATATGTCAATGTGACATAAGACAAGACCAACTGAGGCTTGATATGTCACTGTGACATAAGACAAGACCAACTGAGGCTTGATATGTCACTGTGACATAAGGCAAGACCAACTGAGGCTTGATATGTCACTGTGACATAAGACAAGACCAACTGAGGCTTGATATGTCACTGTGACATACGGCAAGACCAACTGAGGCTTGATATGTCACTGTGACATAAGGCAGGACCAACTGAGGCTTGATATGTCACTGTGACATAAGACAAGACCAACTGAGGCTTGATATGTCACTGTGACATAAGACAAGACCAACTGAGGCTTGATATGTCACTGTGACATAAGACAAGACCAACTGAGGCTTGATATGTCACTGGGACATACGGCAAGACCAACTAAGGCTTGATATGACACTGTGACATAAGACAAGACCAACTGAGGCTTGATATGTTACTGTGACATACGGCAAGACCAACTGCGGCTTGATATGACACTGTGACAAAAGGCAAGACCAACTGAGGCTTGATATGTCACTGTGACATGAGACAAGACCAACTGAGGCTTGATATGTCACTGTGACATAAGGCAAGACTAAGTGAGGCTTGATATGTCACTGTGACATACGGCAAGACCAACTGAGGCTTGATATGTCACTGTGACATAAGGCAAGACCAACTGAGGCTTGATATGTCACTGTGACAAGGCAAGACCAACTGAGGCTTGATATGTCACTGTGACATAAGGCGAGACTAAGTGAGGCTTGATATGTCACTGTGACATAAGGCAAAACCAACTTTGAGATATGACAAGACAAAATGACACTCCGAAAGTCGATGTGACACTGTGACACAACCGAATCTTTACAAGTCACCGTACTAAGATACAGACAACTGCGACTTAACCGGTCGCTGAGATGTATGACACGACCCACTGAAACTTAACAGGTCACAGTACTGAGATACTGAGATACTGAAAACTGAGACTTATCAGGTCACAGTACTGAGATACTGAGAACTGAGATTTAACAGGTCACAGTACTCAGATACTGAAATTGAGACTTATCAGGTCACAGTACTGAGATACTGACAACTGAGACTTAACAGGTCACAGTACTGAGATACTGACAACTGAGACTTAACAGGTCACTGTACTGAGATACTGACAACTGAGACTTAACAGGTCACAGTACTGAGATACTGAAAACTGAGACTTAACAGGTCACAGTACTGAGATACTGAGAACTGAGACTTAACAGGTCACAGTACTGAGATACTGACAACTGAGACTTAACAGGTCACAGTACTGAGATACTAACAACTGAGACTTAACAGGTCACAATACTGAGATACTGACAACTGAGACTTAACAGGTCACAATGTCCTACGCCATGAACAAATCTCACAGTCCCTGAACCACATTATTTTCCCTACTGCCTAGCCCTCTCTGCAATGCTAAGCCTAAATAAAGCAAGTCTAGATTTTACCCAGGTTCTGAATCACTGGTTTCCCTGGGGCTCCTTTTCAATTTAAATGGGCTTGCTTGTTACTATTGAACTTATATATATTCAGACACTAAGCATTAGTCTAAGGTCAGTGTGGTATATAAGCCTAACGACTGTGGTATATGAGCGGGCACTGGTTTGGCCTCTTGAACAATCCTCAGATCATGAAACAAAGTTGAAAGAACAGACACATATCTCAGCACTAGAAAACGATTTATTCTCGTTCGTGTCAATGAAGTGATTGCGAGGTTTTGTCACGCTTTTACATTTAAAGGTTTGGATTTCTAAAATCGAATGTACACAGCTGATCTTCCATACTTCTAAAATAGATCACACACACACAGGATTTGACTTTGGTAGAATAGTCATATTCGTATTCATTTGAACAATAAGGCTTACGACGCAAAAATACTTAAATCATTAATCGAAACATGTATATATACCCATGCCAATAATGGTTGTTACCCCCTCCCCACCCAAACCCACACACACCTCACACCCCGACCCCACACCCCCACTCCAATAACAAAATTGAAGTGGGTGACAACCATTATTGGCATGAGTATACGAGTCGTATCACATATCAGATATGGCAGATTTACATGATATTGATTCTGTTATGATATTGTTCCTTTGGAAAACACTCAATATAAGAAAGAATTGAGAAGGTGATAATCACTGGCATATCTGAAGCAATTATTTTTAATCAGAGCCATAAAACAAATGAGACAGAATAATTCCAATGTATATGGAAGCAGAGGAGTTTTTTTTCAATACGAACAAGCACGTGTACATGGTATACGGAAAAGCATCGACCTTTCCAATTTGAAAAGGGACAAAATGTCCTATTTATAATTTTAAGCTACTTTACAGTCTGGAAAACTAAACACGATTTCTCAAATACTGTCATTTCATTATTTCAGTAACAATTTCAATTTGAACAAATATGTCTTGAAGAATCGTCGGATCAACAACCTTCACAATGTATTTTCAAATCGAATGTTTGCAGAAATTGTACGCTTACACCCAACAGCGCCAGTAGTTATATTGAAATCGGTTTAAGAATGAATTTGTCAACTTTGCCAAGCAATACGTTGTCTAAAACCCTAAACTTTATAATTGCCATTATCAATTATGTCTTTCATCATTAATTATATGTATCTTGTAGGTTTTATTTAAATAATAATAATTCAAAACCAATTTCGTTCCATGATAACTTGCAGGTGTTACACAGTTTGCCATTACTGACTCGGTCGTTCATTGTGACAATTAACATACATTTCGAATCCAAGGACACAACACTAAAACGAGAGACTGCAAAATGAATAGTCATATTCAGCGTACAATTTGTACGAATGTACACACATAAAAATATATTCGTATTACTACAACATCGTCATGGCAATAATGCATATCAACTCTAACATTGTGACATTGTGAATTTCTCACACACGTAAGAAATGAACCATTGGCTGTACCCAAAACAAGAAATGATAAAACAATGAAGTTAGTAGAAGACGGTGCTTCATGTTAGCATGTGTTAAAGGGTAACAACATTCCAAATTGATAGTAGGGATGGCCTTTATCTTCGCGGAATCAAAATGTGCTTATGGTTCGTAATCTTAAGGTTTGACTTGTGTTCGTCAATTAATATCTGGTGATCCTGAAGTCTAATTAAACCGATGTGACTGAGAGTTGAAGCATTGTTACCCTTTGTCTGAACAAGCTGTTATGTTGAAAACAACAAACACTATATAGCGCCTAATGATATATAGATTTGTAAAGTAACTATTTAGATCTTTTCACTATTTAATAGGTCTGTTATAAAAATTCAGAAATGTAAAAGTGTCTCTTTTCAGTGTTGTATTTTATACGAACTAACACTTTACATACAGCTGGATATAATGCACATACACACACACACCCTGTAGTTACGACATATTCACACACAATATAAACTGTTTTAAGTAAACAATATCCGCCGTATCAAATTGCTTTCCTGTTTTTAATTAGTTTGATTATAAATAGTAAAAGGTGCAACTAAAAACCCAATATTGGAATACATTATTCCTGGTAAAATACAACTTACAGATGTTTTCTTCCGATCATTACATCAAAGATTTTACCTGATATTTTCGATATTTCTTCGTAGTTTGATTAACAGATCTAGAGTACGAGCACAGATGTTTACAATAGTTGCAAAAACGGAATCACATCTTTTATGGAATGCGAAATATTTTAATTTCAGAAACAGAACCATTCAGACAAATCGGGTGACAGCGGACTTAGCGAAGATCTAGTTTGTATCAGGTTTGAGCTGGACTGTAAATAATATAAGATAGCCCGTGCCTCTCTCAGAAAGAACATTACACGGCATCAATTTCACTTCATGCATTTCTGGTTTATGACAGCAGTACGAGCTTGTGAAAATACATCTTTGATACTGTCAAACGTTTTCAGCAGAACTCTATCTTCAATACAAGCCACGACGAATTGATTAGCAATGTATTAAAGATGAGTTTACAATAACAAAGTCATCGTTGCATTCTGTTAATGTCGTAACAAAAAAACAGGCTTTGGTTCAGCAATACATAGTTAATCTTTACTGAATAGTTACTGTATAATAATAATTTTCGGCTGAAATAAGTTGAAATACTGTCAAACCCTGTTGTACAAAGGCTACACCTCTCGTGATAAGGGATACATACATACGAGTTTTAGTTTTCACATCGGACCACCTTAACCATCAATGAATGTCGTACAGTTATATTCCAGAAGCAATACCTAGCTGAGAAATGAGAGATAAGTTACCACTTTTAAGAGTGTCGTTGTCGAAAATACAAGCAATACTACCAAGCCGATGAAACAACAGGAGGCTGGCTGCATAATTCATTTGGTTAAATAATAAATCTCTCGTGATACTGCTAACGCGGATTGAATAGCGGAGAGAATAGTGCTCTGAAACAGATGTTGATACAATATAGGTCCATATAAACTGAAGCTGATACCTACTCCATGCTCGCGATGTTCATTGACAATACAAATGTTCTGATTTCCAACTTATTTCGGTAATATGTATGCATTGATGAAACATGGTGGATATAAAATAACCTCTTTAAAACGCCACGATTGTGATTATGTGTTGACTAGGTTCAGAACCAGATTGGCCTTATGATGAATGATGGATGCAACGCTTTTGTAAACATTATTCCATTGGTACAGTGATGACATTCTTGATCGGATGTTGGCATGAGCAAATACACGTAAGTTTCCATAGTCTTCATACTGTTTCTCGCTTGAGTAAGTCGGAGTAAAATGTAAACATATATTTTAAATTCAATTTCTGTCATGTCGCGACAAGTTTGAAAACACCAGTGGTGTGAAATGGGGTGATGGGAACATCGGACTGTCAAGACGATGAACATGTGTCCCTAGAGACGTTAGATGGGTTACATTATACATATATATGCCATGGACAAATACCTTACTGAGATACATAACATCATTGGAAGACAATGTTGGGTTCATCAGCAAGAAAGAATATAATACCGTTGGCACCAGGTATTTGGTAAAATCAGTGTTAAGACAACTGAATACTCCATGAGCATTTGTGAACATGTCATTGTGATTTGAAAGGAATACCAATGAAATCATTTTTAACTGATGTTAGAATTTCCGAGCGCCATCTACCGTAAATTTCGGTCGTACTTCTAATATATTACTCAGTCATCTTAACATAACATTTGATCACAGTACATAAACGATAATTGTTTTCAAAATTCATTTCGTTTTACATTAAAGCTCCATACAAAAAATCGCAGTTGTGAGACAGGTCACAGCTACTCAAGGTCAAGACAACATGTTCGCTGAGATATTCGCGAAGCCGTAACCCTGTGCGCTGGTTAGGTCTAAAATCAATAGCAATGGCGACAAGGACTGGCTCGAGGCATAGGAAGCAGATATCAGGCTATCGCTCGGCTATCATTTTACTTCTAGGCTATTTGAATAATTCTACAATGAGTAAACATACACAGACATGTTCACGTGCATAGTGGAGATATGGTTCCATAAGATCTGGGTACCTTACAAAATGCAGATGCGAATATCAACATAGCGTCTGAGATCGGAGGGAATGTGACGAATCTTCAGTTATACATCTTTTCAAACATTCACTGCTGATTGTATTGAATTTCAGAAATACATTTAAATCAACTCACAGAAATTAACATTTTGAATATTTTAAAATTTGACATGACATTTTGAAATTTTGCATGACATTTTGATAATTGGCTTGAGACATTGACCCACATACATCGTAATAAAGTAAACAAGTTTTCAAAGGAGATCTGGCATTGGCTAACGGCCTTTAATATGAACAGGTGAATATTATTTCCATTTGATTGTGTTTTTGAAAAACTAAAAAACAAGGAAGACTAAATGAGACGAAGAGATGCTCTGGCGTCTTTGAAAAAAACGTTGGTTACAATAAAAGATCACCTTTTGGCCTGTGAAGCTATATTACCAGGATTCGTACCGTGGGGTATCTGTCATGGGTGGAGCTAGTTGTACAAAAACACCGCATTTGACAGTGGTTACGCGAAACACTTCGATGTATGTTTGAAAACTACAAACTTTCAAACTCTTCAAAGCGTTTCCGAATTGTGTGCCATGTCTCGTCAAAACTAAGATCCAAATTTTCGATATGTTTTCTCAGACACACAATAACCCATCGTTAAGGGTAGTTTTCAGGAAATATACGTCTGCTCGTTGAGGAACTTGGAGTGGACTGTAACGCCATTTGGAGGACAATCATCAATGGCGATACTTGTAGCGCTCGGGGACGACACCGACAGCTCCCCTGTCCGATTGAGGGGGTCCTTTATTTCGGAGAAGTCGGAATCCCGAGGGAGGCTCTCAGCAGGACCCCAATCGGCCGACGGCTTCTTGGTTTGGATGAAGCGCTGAAATAGAAGATCAGAGATGCATTGTCTGAGATGCTTGGCCAGAGAGTTGATGAGGGCGTTGTGGTTTGAACAGTAATACACTTATATCAGATTATTTTGGGAAGAAAGATAACAGAAATGCAGGTTTTAGATTTTGGTGTCACTTTGGTGAGTTCGAATATGGCGCCGGCCCCGAGAAACAAAATCGGGCGAATCGGGATTCGAACTCAGAAGGGACACAACCAACTGCGGCGCCTAAGACGTCTGAATACCCCTAGCAAGTAAAGGAGTTTGTGTTATAACATTTCCAGCAATTTTCAAAATACGATGGAAAATCCGGAAAGTGGCCATTTATTTTTTTCCACGTAGACAATGCCTGATTAATTTTGAACGTGGGATGCTTTAGACTGCTTGTAGGAGTAACGCGGTTAGCCCAGGAGTCCAATACCTTGATGAATGGTCCTGAAGCCTTGAGGAACTTGTAGACAACGAAGATAGGGATCGGAACAACGGACATCATACCAATCAGCCAACCAATCGCAATGGCACCAGTTGGGTACGTGTAGTTACCATACGTCGGTGCCTGGTAGCTGACGAAAGCCGAGATGAGCGTGATCTGTGTGAAGGAAATACAAAATGAGCAAGCTCCCGAACAACACTTTAACCAGAAGAGAGTAATATTATTGAATTATTTTTAAAGTTATGGACGAAATGGAAGAAAGTTGTATTGAACGTAGCATCATTAAGGTAGGTCACGTGACAGGAAGTCGTTTGCTTACAAAGAGAAGGACCGGAGTAACAAATTTCCAGCAGATAGAGAAGAATTGTGGGGGGCGTCTTCCGATCATCATGCTGATGTCGTCCCCGATGCGATCAGTTCCTGGGAAAGTAACACATTCTTGATTAAAATATGACACCAAGCGAGAGCACGTCGGAAAGGTTTACAATGCGTTCCACAAAAGCTAATCAACATCTCAAGATGGGTTCATCAGAAAATGTCAACCGAGACTAGTGGTGAAACTGGGTCTGACGTTGTTAGAGTCTGATCAGCTTATGGCAGCTTAGGGCTCAACGAATTATGCGTCTGTCTCTATAATTAACTTTTCCACCCAAAATGTGTATTTTTATTGGAAATAAATATATAACTTGAAACTCTCCGAAAGTCATAATTTCTGTTTCTTCTTGTTCCCACCGTCCACTTGTCTTATCTTTCCTTAAGGATCCACTTCCAGACACTTACCGTATATCCAGGCGAACACAATACACTCCACGAAACCGATGAGGGGAAGACCGAACGACGTGGAGTACCAGTCCATCAGTTGGAAGTAGTAGATACCTGCCTGTAAACAATGGCAGATGGAGTGAATGAGGGAGTGAAAGAGTATGTGAGTGAGTGAGTTGGGCTTTACGCCGCTTTTAGTAATAGTCCAGCAATATCACGACAGGGAACACAAGAAACGGGCTTCACACAATGTACCCATGTGGGGAATCGAACCCGGGTGTTAAGCGTGACGGGCGAACGCTTGAACCACTGGACTATCCCTCCACCCCTGGCTGTGACTGAATGAATGATTGGTGTTCATCGTCGCAGTGAACAGTGTTTCTGTTTCGTGGATTTCGTGAATTCAATACAAACTTCTTCTTCTTACACACAGCTGCATCTATGAAAACATGTTTTCTCAATATCTTAAAAGCCTCATTCATCTCCATGTTCCAAGCCGATTGCTCCGCTCGTCAAACTCCCTACTGCTTACACAGCCTCACGTAAAAACAGCCATGGGATCAAGAGCGTTCTCTGCTGCAGCCCCAATATCTGGAACATTCTACCACTCGCCCTTAAAGAAATAGAATCTGCTGACGCTTTCAAAACTGCCCTCAAAACTCATCTGTTCAAACTCTCTTTTCCATAGACATCGTCTACAATCTTTTCTCTTTATAGCGCCATTGAGCAATATCTTTTGGAAATAGGCGCTATATAAATCAATTATTATTATTATACAGTTTTAATAAAACATGCGCACTAGAAATACCCATCTCACCATCACTACCATCCGCATCATCACCACCAAAACAATCAACATAGTAATACAGTCGAGCACCTATGTCTCGATATTCATGGGACCAAGAAAAATATCGAGTTATCCGAACTTCGAGATATCCGACCAGAGCATATCATCACATATCACTATGAAAGAAAACAAAACGCTTCTGAAGTTCTGAGTATGTTTTGATTCGAAACTATAATCCGTTATCAGTAGTATTTAGTCGTAACAGTTTGTACTTCCTAATTAATTCCTTCTTAATTAACCCTAATTAAATAACAAACAAGAACACCTTCAACTCAATTAGCCCTAATTAGTTTACACTACCGCATCCCTTTGATTCATGCTGCACCGTGTGTAAACTTGTGGAAACAACCTCAGTTCAGAGGGATACTTGCCCATGAAAGGTAGGTGAATATCGAGTTTCTTTGCAAATATCGAAGTAAAAGGTTAATTTTGCTTGTTGGGACAATGAAATTATATCGAGATATCCGAAATATCGAGACATCCCTATCGAGTTAAAAGAGCTTAAATAATGACAAATTATGAAGGATTTTGCCAGGACCGAGGTGTTATATCGAGACAACCGAGATATCGAGTTATCAGAGTTCGACACAACGGTGCTCGACTGTATATGTTTACATGATCGTATAGATAATGGTCAGCGAAATGTTCAGCACTGCTGCATCAATACAGTATTGATTCCGCTTAACCAAGGTACATGTTTCTGGGATTCGAACCCTGATCAGTGGTCTTCCACAAGGCTAACAAACTGAGCTCTACATGTAATTGGTTTGATCATTGTTTAACGCCGCACTAAGCAATATTCCATGATCGATGGTCATGATGTTAATCACTGGATTGACTCGTCAAAACTTGATCATTTACTGACCGCCGCCATATAGTTGGAATATTGCTAGGTGCGGCGTAAAACAACAAACAAACAGACTGTGGTCTAGTTTACTGTCAGTGGCCTGGTTGTGTAAGCCAGTAGATCGATCTACGGCAGTTTATGAACCGTCAAAGTTGAAAGTAGAATATTGTGAAATGCATTGTTAGTTCAAACTAACTCATAGACAAACTAATATAATTCCCCCTGCTTAATGAAAATGCGCCCAAACAAGAACAGCCAGTAATCCAGTTATCCTAGCGCTTCGTGTGCACCTGAATAAAACTCCTGTAACTCCGGGGACCGACCGCCTTCACCGGAAATGCACGAGTGGTTACGCATCCATCAAGTTAAGGCGATAGGCTGAGACTGTGACAACACACGCTTGAGTCTCAATGTTTAACTTGGCATCAGCTGAGTAATCGGCTCAAACTGGTCTCCAGCAATTGCTTTAGGCAAGAGCACAATCTTATGATCGATAGCGATTTGACTTGAAACCTTGTGTTTCCAGCACGTTTCCACAGAATCACTGCAGTGGTAGCACCAGAAACGGGTCAAGTCGAGCTGGTCATCTTTGGTCTTTCGACACATGAAGGAGGTTGCATTGAACGACAGACATAGGACAGGTCTGACGTCAAAAGACAATGACGTTTTCCTATCTCGCTTACTGACATAAGGGTAGAAAGCTCGCAATAACACATTTCTACGCCTCAGAAGATTGTGTCACATATAGCAGGTTGATGATCAGACAACCGAGGATATCTTGTAACAAATTGCACCAGAACCACCTTTTGTCCGACCGATCTTAACCTTTACGAGATCTCTGGTGTGTTTTCTAATCATGTCGCTTCCTATCACTTGCGTCAATGGGACAGACATATGAATGTAAAAGACTTCCCTTATCCGTGGGGAGCACCGACATGTAATTAGAGTCAGGTATTAGACATGCCAACTTTTCTTTCATTCATTTTTCACATTATGAATCGAGAACGTTGTGTACATATTTTCCAAAGCGCTATCGGGAATTGTAGTCGCCATTTTGAAACGAGCGCCGAAACTGCGAGAACTGCTTTCTGATTGTCTGATGTCGACTTACTGGTATCCATTGGCTGGCCAAATTAAGCTTGAGCTCATTCTGACGTGACCTGTAATGGCGATCTGATTTTAATGAGAGAAGATATTCTGTCGATGGTAACTCGTCTTCAGAATCTAATCTCGCATATTAATGGTATTTTTTGTTGCGACAGATCTTTTTGAGATACTCTTGCATTCAGCACTGAGAGTAGCATGTCAAGGGCATTCAAGGTCTTACCGATGTGGTCAAGGGCAGACCAAGGACGAAGAACGCGAAACAGATAGCTCCAGTCACCAGCGTTCTCCTCTTCGCCAGAGTCCTCGGGAAACTCTCCAACACAGTGCCACATATGATCTCCGTCATTCCGAACTGAAAGAAAATTGAAGTGTGAAAATTTAAATTTTCTTGGTGTATTTGTCACTATATTTATAGTTTTATTTGTTGTTTATAGCCGCACACAGCAATATTCCAGATGTACGGTGCGGGCTTTAACTAATAGAGTCTGGACCAGACAATCCAGTGATCAGTTGGGATACGATGGCATGTGTGAACCAATTCAGCGAGCCTGACCACCCGATCCCGTTATAATTAGTCATCTCTTACGAAATGCATGGGTTGGAGAAGAGCAATCATTACCCGGATCCTGAAAGTCGGTTGATATATGCTGTAGTAAGAAATCGTACTACAGTTTGTGGCCTTAATTGATTCGATAACTAAGAGACCAACCTGAGGGCTTTAATGGCAAAAATTATGTGCATCCAACGTCTTCAGTTACAAAGAGGCAGGCCATTTCTGACAGGAGAGAGAGAGAGAGAGAGAGAGAGAGAGAGAGAGAGAGAGAGAGAGAGAGAGAGAGAGAGAGAGAGAGGGGGGGGGGGATTTCTCAGATTCACCGTGTGTATGTGCAATGTTCAATTTCACGGTTGTGTACGGACTTGTCTCTATCTGTCAGGTTTTAGGATCTTATCATTTGGAAAGATTAATTGTGTTCTGCTAACTTAACAGTGATGTTTGAATGAAAGAATATTTCTGTAGATGCCGTTCCCTTTATCCCACGATTTTATGTTTTGGCATAAAACCGTCAACACCACAACTCCATACGACCCCATCGACCGTACACTACTGACCCAGCACTGATCAATAAGCTGACATGCGCAGTATGTGTTGTCCGGAGATTTATCGCGGTGAGTAACCATGCACCTCGTCATGTCCATCATGATGACTTATAACTGACTAGAACACGGAGTGTCCTTCTAACACGATCAATACATTTGTCGTCATTTAATACAATACGCGAGTGGGTTGTCTGACGACTCTCCATAGCAGCATCGCAACGACGGCAACGACGGTGATATCACCTAGAGATTCCTAGTCTGGAACTACCCACGCTTTAAAAGCACCATGGATATCGCATTAGACGCAGTCATGTCAGACTTCAAGAACAGGTGTAGACTTACGCATAGTTCCCGAAATAAACGCCTCTATAAGGATTGATAAAAACAAGTCTATAAGAAAAGTGTCGAGCATTAAGAAATCATGAACTACCTTAATTTACGGCTTAGGACTGAGGTTGGGAAGAGTACAGGTCGCTAGATCTGAGAAGGTTTAATTCAATTTTGTTTGTTTGTTGTTTAACGCCGCACTCAGCAGTATTTCAGAGGCGGTCTGTAAATAATCGAGTCTGGACCAGACAATCCATTGATCAACATCGCAAGCATCGATCTACGCAATTTGGATACGATGACATGTGTCAACCAGGTCAGCGAGCCTTAGCACCCGATCCCGTTAGTCACCTGTTACGACTAGCATGGGTTGCTGAAGACCAATTCTACAAACAATGGGGTAAAGGACGCTTATAACTGATTGATGGTTATAACGAATTAGCTACTTTTCGGTCTCAGCTTCTAGCGTTATATTCTTGCCAAAATTATAAACTACGGTTATAACGAACTAAAATACCGCCTCCGTGGTGTAGTGGTTAGAGCGTCCGCCCGGAGAGCGGAAGGTCGCGGGTTCGATCCCCGACCGCGTCAAACCAAAAGACGTTAAAATATGGTACTTGTTGGTCCCTGCCCTGCGCTCGGCATTAATGGGTACAACAAGGACTGGTCAGTATAATGTGTCTGAGTGGGATATTCATGCTTCACTGCGGCGTGGTATCTCAGTGGGCTAGCACTATAAAACCAGCTTAAGTCTGGGCTAGTACGAACAGCCGCACATACACATACACACGCATGCACGTCGTCATATGAGTGAAATATTCTTAAGTACGACGTTAAACCCAATTTCACCTCACCTCACCTCACGAACTAACATTAGTTGTCCTATTGTCCATTATAACCATTTATTACTGTATGAAACTGACTTCACTTTACAATTCAATTACATTTTGTGATCTGAAGCTTGTCATTTCTGAAAATGACTTCACTTTGACAATTCAATCAGATTTTGTGATCTGAAACGTGTCCGTTTATTCCGACATTGTCGTTACAGCTTTAAGAATTCGTTGCATTTCGTCCAGTAACAAACACCGCCCAATTCTGCACCGCCCAATCCTGACGAATCTTACCCGCGTTTCAACACAAAGAACAATGAGTGATACGCTTCCCCTTGCAAAATGTCACCAATGTAGCCTGTCTCAAAGCTCCTGAACCACATTATTTTTCCTACTACCTAGCCCTCCCTGCAATGCTAAAGCCCTGAATGAAGCAAGTCTACATTTTCCCAGGTTCTGAATTTCCCATCCCACTGGTGCTCATTTTCCATTAAAGGCTACTATCAAAATTATGATTTTATTTACATTCAGTGAGTAAGTGTTAGTCTATGAGCAATGCAGAAGCAGATTAATGTCATCAGTTAATCACCTAATGACCAGGATCCGGTTGTATCATTGCTTCATTAACTAATGTCAACCTTAAACCCTAATGATACATTAAATCCTTAATGCGTCATTAGTTAATATATATTCAGCTACAAGCATCAATCGTACAGAGTATGTGTTCGAGTTTACCTGCTGTAGTAAATAAGAATATCATAGTTGGAATGTTAGTACACAATGCTATTCTAATAAAAGATATTGACAAATATTGACAACTGCTGAGATATTCGCTTCAAGCATGTTTACGTCTTCTGTAAATCCTTAGAAAACAGTTAAATATATGACATTCTCGGGACAGAATACTCGAAAGATTGTTTTCTGAGCAATATAGTTCAATATCCGAAGCTCTTTTCCGGCTCCATTCGCTCTTTCGTAACTGTATGGTAATGATAGCTGGATAATATAATCGTGACAGACGCCAGCAGTCAGCGTTATTCATCGCATAAAACAAGGGAAGGTTATGGAGATTTATTTGTCATTATCATTTGTCCTTATTTAGTCATAGTTTAATATATTTTAGATTGGTTTGACTGCATATTTATTACCACAGATGTTTCATCCAAGCCGCGTTGATACATTGAAGGTCAGGAAACGCCTCGATATCTCGCCTCTGCATCTAGGTACAATTCTAGCCTGTAGCACGTTTTCTACACAACATTGGGGCAGTGGGGTAGCCTAGTGGTTAAAGCGTCCGCTCGGCACGCCTAAGGCCCGGGTTCGACTCCCCACAATGGGTACAATGTGTGAAGCCCATTTGTGGTATCCCCAGTCGCGATATTGCTGGAATATTTCTTAAAGCAGCGTAAAACCATACTCACTCACTCTACACAATATTACATTTCCTCAGGCACTGTCCTTACTGTACAGCTATCCCTAATGAAACCGAAGATTAGATTTGTCACATGTTACGAATCTCCCATCTCATTGGGGTCCTTTGCTTTTTTAAGGGACTTCTTGTTTTGATGACAACTAAATATTTGGAAGTCTAGGCGCAAGTCTATCCAGATTCCAACTGCTGAGTCTGCCGAATGAGGTCTGGGTGACCTCCCGATTTGCATGCATTTCCGCAATATCGTGCAGGATATCCGTCGGCGAGAGGAACATATGGTTATCAGACACGGGTTGCAGGTTCAAGAGTAAATACATGTGGGTGATGCTTGCCGGCACTTTCTTACTCGCCCGCTTGTATAACGCTTAACTCCATTCGCAATGTATTCTCAAATCGCTGCTGGACCCGTGAAGATCCGGGTTAGAATTGATCTTCAGTAACCCATGCTTTTCGTAAGAGGCGACAAACGGGATCGGGTGGTCAGGCTCGCTGACTTGTCATCGTTTCCCAGTTGCGTAGATCGATGCTCATGCTGTTGATCACTGGATTGTCTTGTCCAGACTCGATTATTTATAGGCCATCGCCATGTAGCTGGAATATTGCTGCGTGCGGCGTTAAACAACAAACAAACCAAACCCAAAACCAAATCTGCGTTTGTCATTAGCATTAATCCGGTGAAAGGATTGTAGCGGCCATAAAAGTTCCGAGTCCCGTGCTGGGATTCGAACCACGAACCTTCTATTCCAAAGTCGGACGCCTTGTCCACATGACCAAAGTGGTTAACCCCGTCAGCAAGCTGACAAGGTAAGGATGTCATCTGTGGGATGACTCCACGCCCGGCTACATACTCCCCCGTCAACAGAAGGCACGTCCCGAGCCGCATAGTTGGGTATTGAGACTTATTTTGCTCAAATTTCATATGAACGTGCTCAGTCCCACGTTGGGCGCCAATGTAGCGGCCATAAAAGTTCCGAGTCCCGTGCTGGGATTCGAACCACGAACCTTCTATTCTATTCTTGTCCACATGACCAAAGAGGTTAACCCCGTCAGCAAGCTGACAAGGTAAGGATGCCATCTGTGGGATGACTCCACGCCCTGCTACAGGATCAATGTACACTGAAGTTGTTTTATCCTCAACTCCCTGGGAGGTATGCAACCTTATTCGCCAAGGGTCGCTATCAGCAAAGTGTAATTCCTTCGGGAACCTGGGTGAACGGTCTGTAAATGATCGAGTCTGGACCAGACAACCCAGTGATTAACATCACCAACTCAACTGGGATACGATGACATGCATCAAACCAGGTCAGCCAGCCTGACCACCCGATTCCGCCGGATTTTGGCAGCTTTTATCAACATCATCAACATCATCAACGCACAACCTCATCAACGTACCTCATATTAACTGACACGGGGTTGGGGGAGGGGGGGGGGACTGAAACAAACAGTCACGTGACAGTTATTACGAGAAACGATACACAGCATATACTATGTGTGTGTGCATGGTTTGGAGTTGTGAAAGTGGGGTGTGGAATATGTGTGTGCGTGTGTGCACGTTGGGGAGTTAGGAAAGTAGGGCGTGGAATATGTGTGTGTGTGTGCAGATGGGAAAGTTGGGCGTGGAATATGTGAGTGTCCGAGTGTGCGTGTTGAGTAGTTGGGAAAGTGCGTGGGTAGGATATGCGCGTGTCCGAGTGTGCTTGTTGAGTAGTTGGGAAAGTGCGTGTGTAGGATATGCGCGTGTTCGTGTGTCCGTGGTGAGGAGTTGGGAAAGTGGGGCGGGGAATACGTGCAGGGGGAGAGAAGAGAGATTTACCCAAGTCTTACTGGGATTCAAGACCATGGCAGAATCTTATTATTCTCTGTCGAGAAAACGATACGATTTAAGAGTAGATATTATAAAGATTACACAACGGCAAGGGATGAAACATTACGAAGGAAAACACTCCACCTTCAATTAATAACAGTCCAGTATGCGAAACGTAGTGTTTTTGTACCCATGATGAGATGTAACAATAGTAGGGAGAATTGGAGCTAGGGTCAGTGCCTAATATGACCACCTAATATTGAAAACATGCAAGCTAATATTTATGCCAACATGCAGAGTAAGTAAAAACAATCAACTTCAAATTTGTGTTTCCGTTTTAAAACAATGTGACTTCTTTGATTGGCACCCTAGAAGTTGGGTAGATGAAGAATGGGGACTATTTGTATGGATATACAACTTCTTTATTCTGTATAGGCGACGTTTCGACAAAGATTCTAATGTAAATTGAACAACGACATTAGAATCTATGTCGACATGGATTGTAATGTAAATTGAACGACATTAGAATCTATGTTGAAACGTCGCCTATACAGAATAAAGAAGTTGTATATCCATAAAAATAGTCCTCATTCTTCATCTACCCAACTTCTAGGATGCCAATCAAAGAAGTCACATTGTTTTAAAACGAAAACACAAATTTGAAGTTGATTGTTTTTACTTATAAAAAAAGTCCTCATTCTTCTTTAAAACAGTGTGTCATGAATAAATGTGACACTTGAACCAGGATGGTTGGAACACTATTTTGCCTGGTTCAAATTAAATCAAGTCCCTCAAATCAAGCCATGAATCAATTTGTATTTTATTACCATCAATATCGATAAATTAAGGGCCTTTGTTAGATAGTAATTCCTTATTAATTTTGTACAAAGCATTAACTCCAATCTTTACTCTACCTGTGTGTCCAGGCCAACCGTCAAAAGCATCAGGAAGAACAGGATGTTCCAGAGTTGAGGAAGAGGCAGAGTTGTCAGTGCCTCAGGATACGCAATGAACCCAAGTCCTGGTCCTGAAAAACAACCGTGAGAATTAGCATACTTTCAAAACAGTACACGTGTGTTATACAATTTCCTCGAAGAATGATACCGATGTAACGTTTCTATAACAAAGTACTAAATAATGTTCCAAATGCGATGGCTGTTTGTTTGCAACATGATGAAAACATATTTGACCTTCAACTTACCTGTAATGAAATTAGATTGTTTCCTGGAATAGTTTTGAGTTCGTTAGTCGAACAATGTAAAGGGAACAGTTATCAAAATGAATGCTGGAACACGCTTAAGAACACTGTATGAGGCTGCGTTTAGAAAGTTGAATAATTAAAATGGATGTTTAGTTTGAGAATGGGAAACGGAAATAAGGCTAGGGGTTCGTTTCACACAAAGCTGTCAAAATACACAGCAAATATAGGCTTATTAGTCGTTAACATGTGATATGTCAGGGCATAGCAGTTCTAGTAAGCTGATAGTGACTGAAATGGTTATGATGAAATATGTAAATAAAATATATGACTGTAAATAAACCTGATTGCATGGTTTCAACAAAATAGTAAAATACAACAATATCCATTAAAATGTCGTTTTGCATGAGATACAAATCTAGATCTATAAACAAATATTAGACAAATACGACATTATTATTATTGGGATATGAAAATAAAAAAAAAATAATAATATCATAATAATATATAATCAAATGTAATAAGATATGTCAGTTATATGAAGAAAGGAAAGATTGAAATTATATCCTTCGAAATATGTATGTTAAGGAAGGCATAGCATGAGGATATACTGTGAAACGTTTTATTCCGTCTGGACGGGATAATGTCTCCATTCAAACACCCCTTCAATCTGAGTAACATGCAGATTTGCATTCACTGTATAAAACAATCTAGTATTTCTGTGCATGCATACATAACAAAAGGTCCGTAATTCGGGACTTGGCTCTGGTTTATGTCCCATTAGTGCTTGGAGTGACGAAAAAAGTGTCCACAAGAAACAGCGTCCATCCCAAAATAGGTGTGAGTTATCACCCGTCTGCATTAAGAGTAACCTCCCCTTCCCATTCATTGGTTTTTAAATGCAAGCATAATTTTGAGTGTTGGAGTCAACCTGATTTAACAACTTCTGATACGGGGACTCCAGCTTTTTGTGCCATAAATCCAAGCACTGAAAATATGGCAAAGCCTCCATATAAACTGGTCCCTTCCCCAAGGAAAGTGATAAGCACTGCATCTCTGAAAACACAAGAAAAGAGCGTTGAGCACATAAGGCACGTCCTTTAAGGACCGTGCTGGGAATTGGTGTAATGCATTAATATCGCCGTGTCAAATTTGTACGTATTCGGATAGCAATCCTAAGAGCGAAGGTAAGTTTTGTCGTGAACATAGCTAACAGTTTCTGTCTTCTTAATCTAAAAACATAATTCTTGCATTAAACATATAATATATAGTGTTGATAGCGTCCAATATTTACATGGTTTGAAAAGCGAATCATCTGATTTTGAATTTTTATAAGAATAAGTTCAATTCCTTCAAGATTATAGTCAACCTGCATCTTCGCTCATGGATGTTCTCCAGGAAAACATGACAAAACTTCTGTCAACCACGGTTTGTGTCTGTTCAAAAATTGTCTCTTGAAAACTATCTTCTTGGAAAATATCAAATACTCTCAAATGATTCCAGTCAATGGAATATACAAGATTATACTAATTCATGTAATTTTGATGATAACCCGTCCTGCCCCTTCTTACGATATTTTAGACAAGCATTCTCCAAGGTAATAGCTTCCAAGAGACATATGCTTCTCTTAACGCAGAGTCATTTCAAATTGATTCACAGCCTGGTTGCCCAAATATGTTCCTTCAAACCTGTTCGAGTTGGCCCAAGTCTCTCAAGACCAAGTCACCTCTTGTCATCCCTTCTGAAAACAAAGGTTAACGGCAGGAACATCTTTGGAGAAACAGGAGTTTTTCGCGTTGACTAATTTTCCATTTTTTTTCTATGTTTTCGGCGATTCTAGATATGAGTTGTGCTTTTCTAACAACAAGGAGAAAAGAACTCTTTGGGAGATCAATGCTGAAAATCCTTGGTCCTGTGTCTCTGGAATGGTTCTTCTTGGAGTGATTTGTAACCCACTGAAATCCATGAACTCGGAGTAATCCAACAACAAGCCAGAAACGATTTAAAGGATGAAGCGAAGGCAAAACAAACTGGGCAGCAGGTTTATCTAACTGACTGTTGAATAATTGACCATCTTTAATGAACATGTCCATCCATGACGAAAGGGCATGGAACCACACACAAATGGACCACCTACAATTACTCAAAGGTACATAGCCGAACAAAAAGCATCCTTGTTACTATGGGAAGGAATCCTCATCCTTGATCATCAAATGCTGCCATGACAACAAAACAGAAACAGAATTACCTAAATAATGAACCGACCAGTGTATCCAACATTTAAAGTCTGTCGGATGAGCAAGAACAACGACATTATTTGAATAATAGTATGACCCCAATTAGACTGTTTGCCACACAACTAAGGACCAGTTAATCAAACTAAGCAATTCTTTTTGTAGACCGGATGTGGCAAGACATATCCCCAAGTTTGTATTTATACAAAAGGCCATTGTTACACACCATCAGAACGTTTCAGAATATCCACAACCAACCATTATGCCAGGCACGACTCCTACCAGAGGCAAAAAGGCACAATCCATTTGGAGATTTCGCGCTTGATTTTGCTAAGGATTCAAAAGCCGTTATATGTAGATGAGGCCAATTACAACGTAATTTAATCATCTTGAGCATTTATAGATATTTACTTGTGAATTTGAATATGTCGATGTATTTGAAAAGCTCTCCGAATTTGAAGATGTAAAATACACATGTGAACACACAGTATAGTATCTTTAATATAATACCTATCAGACTGTGAGTGAAATATTGTTTCTAAATACATTGCTCTCCATCTTCAAATGCATAACTGTAAATTACATCATAGTTCATGATAGTTCTTGCTAAAACATGTTTACAATGTGTTGTATGGAACAAATGCGATATCGGCAGAAATTGCAACTTAAAGAATCATTTGAAGATGTTTGGCAGTATATGTTTGTCAGACAATGTAAGCATCATTTGAAGATGTTTCGAAGCATATCTTAAGAGTAAATTTGTTTTATTTCAAACGTGTTTTTTTTAAAATACAAATGTTCAGGAAATTTCCTATTGGATGAATGAGTTATGTCAGCCAGCTTAAGTCTTAAAATATGCTTCCTTCACAACCCATTTAGAAACAACACTCCGCAAAACATTATGAATTTGAATACTTGAAATGCATTTACAAAAATTTACAAAATGTAAACTTGGAAGGATAACTGAACTGCTAGATAGCATTAAAGGATATTTTGATAGACAATAGAGAGTATGAAAACAACCCGTCTCCATCAATGATTCAAACCATCAGAATATGTCGTTTACAAATTGATCCGTTGTTTTTTTTCATAAACAAAGCAACCCATTTGTGAGGTTGTCAGTATTGGTAGATACACATAGGGCATGGGTTGTCTAAGGTGACTTTTGTTTCTTTTCATGCCCAATTTGTATACAGAAAATGTCCTCGGTAGAAACCTTGCGAATGAACAGCGCTTTCATGTATACCAATGGCTACTTCTGGGTACATGTGCACCGGGAAGGGTTAGGGAAAGACGTACTTTCAGTGGACGATTTTGTTTCACCACTGAATACATTTTGATGCGATATAATTTGTTATTATATTTTGTTAATAGAGATATTTTGGCGTCTGGTATTCCTTTGATTGTGATGACCGGAGTAGCAAATCACAATCATAAAACATGACGCACTACAGGGTGGTTAGACAAGTTGAAAAGCGGACATATTATGCAGATAAAGGGCCAGAAAAAAAAATTAAAATTAAAATTTTTCATTGTGTTGTATTTTAAGTGAATGCAGGATTTCACCGGTGTTATTGTCGTAAAGAATTGTTTCACTCAAAATGACATGCTCCTGGAGATACTGTCTGAAAGAAAAGTCTGTATTATACACAAACACACAGAGATGAAGCTGTGTGACGTGTATGACGTCAGAGTGACATCATATTACGTCACACAGCACTGTCGATATACTGACCTGAGACAGTTGTTGGTGAACTTATTGTGACTTGCCATTACAATAAGTAAGCCCCATGCCGGTCCGAGTGAGTAAAAGACCTGAGAGCCAGCTTCTATCCATACCTGTAAATCAACAAAACCTCTTTTAACTTTGACTGAATTGTATTTACTTTTTGAAACAATCTCCTCTACATACCAGCGATTATTCGGTATAAGAGACTGAACATTGGAGGTGGTGTTTGACGAGAAAGCTGTTTCATCTACAAAACAGGTATTGGATTATTTAAAGTTTGAGGCAAATACAGAATAAGTTTATAACATACACGTTTATAACGAACTGACGGATACTCTTTATACCTTCCTCGTTCAGTTAAAGTGAGTGAGTGAGTTCAGGTTTACGCCGCTTTTAACAATATTCCAGCTATAGCACGGCGGGGGACACCAGAAATGGGCTTCACACATTGTACCCATGTGGGGAATCGAACTCGGGTCTTCGGCGTGACGAGCGAACGCTTTAACCACTAGGCTACCCTACCGCCCCGTTCAGTTAAAGGGGCGGTTGGGGTTCGCTCGTCACGTCAAGACGTTCAATCGTCGGCACGCCGATGTGTGAAGCCCATTTCTGGTGTCCCCCGTCGTGATATTGCTGGAATATTGCTAAAGTGGCATAAAACCAAATTCACTCACTCACCCACTCGTTCAGTGAAAGTAGGAAGCATACTGTACTCATTCAAAAACATACTAAGGGTATAACACAGTGTTAAAGCACACGATTTCAGTATCTTATTACTAATATAGGCGATTCCAACAGTTTTTGAGTCCAAGATTGTAGGATATCTTGCATCGCATGTGAAGACAATATCGCTTATTATTCTTTACTGGTTGACTCGGTGTTTGGGGATCTTGGTCTTTCGCTGTCTGTATGGTGAACAATTCATTCATTATATCTGCGTTGGACGGGCTATCATCATAGGTATTACCGTTATGACAATTTGCAGGAAACGTTGTAGGCCAATAAATATACTGATAATTCGTTATTTATCCAGTGCCTGTTTCCAGTCCATGAAAGTCTGTTCAAAGAATATTTAATTGTATTCTAATCTTAAGAAGTGCCTTTTCTGCAATCTGATAGTTCCTGAATGATTCTGAGATTGTCTGGAAGGGAATTCCAAAGTACTGGACCAGCTTTTGAGAAGGTTTTGTCTGTTCTGAGCTGGACCGGGATTTCGGTATAAACAACAAATGTTGGCTGCTTGATGGTAAAGATGGAGATAGAACATGATCCTTAATAGGATCACAGAGGTATGGTGGTGTCAGTCCATACTTTGTCTTGAAACAGTGAGTACTAAACTTCATGGGCAGCGAGTGAAGTTCCTTGAACACAGGTGTGATGTGGTCATACTTCTTTGTTGGACTGAAAACCTCGGCAGCTACATTTTAAACCTTGAACCTTTGCAGGAACATTTTGAGCACGTCTGTACAACATTGCAGTGCACTAGTCTAGTCCCATTGCTCTTTTTTCGAATAGTTTTTCACGCCACGCTACCACACCTTATTGCTTCTGATACTTTTATATAGTCATCAATATTAGAGAAAAGACATTGTTTTCCGGACCGATCCTGTGACCACATTTAAACATTAAGACTGTCAAGATCCGGGTTAGAACTGATCTTCAGTAACCCATGGATGTCGAAACAGGCGACTAACGGGGTCGGGTGGTCAGGCTCGCTGACTTGGTTGACAATATCTCAGTTGCGCAGATTGATGCTCATGCTCTTGATCACAGGATTGTCTGGTCCAGACTCGATTATTTACAGACCGCCGTCATATACTGTAGCTGTAATATTGCTGAATGCAGCGTAAAAATAGACTCACTCACTCACTGAAAAATGCCTTGTTATGTCGTTTTGTTTTTCGTTATGTTGCCGATTAAGTTTACAGATTTGGTTCCCACCCATGCTAACCGTTCGGTCTGATAGTCACTATTCGACTGGGTAGGTTTCTGTAACTCATTTTCTTACCAGTACAGTTAGTATAGTTCTATATCGGCGGCATTGGCGTTTCCGAAAATATTACTCTTCTAGTTTATGTTTATTAAGTCCTTTATAGTCGACACGTTCATAATAAATATATTTCTGGGGCAGAGACTTGAGGTGAAAGGTCTTTCAAGTTAACAAACATTGGACAATGGTCACTACAAAACGGATCTAGTACGCCCGAACTCTGCACGATATCTGCACCTGAAACACATAACAGGTCAAAAGGTGTACCTGAGTTTTCCTGGTAAGTTCAATAATCAATAGTTTCAATCCATGTGTCAACGTCAGCTGACCCATATTTCGCCCGTTGTCACCTTCATTTGTAGTACTTCATATGAGTAGGGTTAGATAGTTCAATTATTTGCCAATACGTCATGGTTTTAACAGCACAGTAGAAAGAACTTGTTAAATAATTTCTGTTTTTACAACTGATTTTGACACCCATATTTAATCGAGCCAAACTGTGTCTACATGATCCTTTTGGATTACGGGGCGGTGGGGTAGCCTAGTGGTTAAGGTGTTCGCTCGTCACGCCGAAGACCCGGGTTCGATTCCCCACATGGGTACAATGTGTTAAGCCCATTTCTGGTGTTCCCCGCCGTGATATTGCTGGAATATTGCTAAAAGCGGCGTAAAACCAAACTCACTCACTCACACCTTTTGGATTACAAATAGTACATCTCTGGTAAAGCCTACGTCCCAGTTGTCCAAGCTTTCCTGATAGTGAGTGAGTGAGTGAGTTTAAGTTTACAAGATTGATTGATTGGTTGAATGTTGTTTAACGCCGTACCCAGCAATATTCCAGCTATATGGCGACGGTTTGTAAATAATCCAGTCTGGACCAGATAATCTACTGATCAACATCATGAGTATCGATCTACGCAGTTGGGATACGATGACATGTGTCAACCAAGTCAGCGAGCCTGACCACCCAACCCCGTTAGTCGCCTCTTACGACAAGCATGGGTTGCTGAAAATCACTTCTAACCCGGATCTTCACGGGTCCTTTCCTTAAAGCCATGTAGAAACCAGGGATAAAAACTGCGCTGTTATGAATACAATTACATAATCACGTTTAACTGAGGCAAGTAACGTTATATGAATCTACAGTCAGTTCTGCTTTTACTGAGTGAACTGTATATCTTAAACTGCGATTGTTGAGACGAACAACCTTAGTCACAACTGGGCCTGTATTGGGGTGAACAGCACAGTGACAGAAGAAGAACATAATAGATTTGCAAACTATTATTTATGATATGCGTCAGTGTGGTATACCAACACATTACAACGCACATTATGCTTATCCACGCTTTGTGTGGCAGACTGAATTTGAATATTATGATAGCTGCTCACTCGGAAAGTCCCCAAACATTGTACATCGACCTGGATAATTCAATGTACATATATTTACATCATTTTTGCATCGGCTAATCGGGAGTAAAAGTAAAACCAATTGTATTGTTGTGATACATGTGTCACTTATGGTTTTTTATCCAGATGACCTGTGTGAAAACGCAGAGGACACTGTCTATAGACGTTTACGATAACCAGCACGGTCCGACCTGATAAACAAACGCTCAACCACAACCCAACTGGTAATTTGATAAAAATGTTCTCGGTAAATAGCCAAAGACAGTTTCTATAAATGGAAATGGGCCAATGACGTTCTCCGTAATTTGGCCAAACACGTTCTCTGTAAATGGCTAAAGACGTTCTCTGTAAAAGGCGGACGACGTTCTCTGTAAATGGGCCAAAGACGTTCTCTGTAAATGGGCCAAAGACGTTCTCTGTAAAGACGTTCTCTGTAAATGGGCCAAAGACGTTTTTTGTAAATGGCCAAAGACGTTCACAGTAAATGACCAAAGACGTTCTCTGTAAATGACCAAAGACGTTCTCTGTAAATGACCAAAGACGTTCTCTGTAAATGGCCAAAGACGTTCTCTGTGCACAGCATTATACGAACATTATACGCAAAATTATAACGAAGCTCTTTCCCACACAAGGTCGCATTTAGATCCGGGAGGCTGACAGAGTCGCCCTACTCGAAAACACGTGTTGACACAGCCGTGGCTACGGCATGTATCCTGGTAACAGCTGCAACTACACATGTTAATGTTGTCGCCAGCAGAATGTGTTTGCTGGAAAACTCACAAAATCAGTCAAGGACAGATATTTGCAACTGTAGTGATATTATGATGCAACACTTCGTTGTAGTTCCCAAAACTACGGAAGCATGTTAGGGCCATGCATTTCTTTTCTTGAAATTGCAAGATACCAAGCTGAAATTACAATATGCTATCTTGAAAATTCAAGATACTGTCTTTTGAAAAGTGAAGATAGTAAGTTGAAAATTTAAGATGCTAAGTTGAAATTTCAAGATACATATTAATTTCAAGGAAATGATAAATGAAATTTCAAGATAAGAAGTATCAGTATCTTGAAATTTCAAAAATCAACACGTTGAAATGTCAAGTTACTATCTTGAAATTTCAAAAAATAAACCCGAATGGCCCTATAAGGCTTCCGTAAAAACCGCTGACATGCACGATTGACGTAGTTAGTGAGTATGTTTTTAGGCCGCTTTTAGCAATATTCCAGCAACACACGGCGCAGGACACAAGACATGGGCTTCACACATGTTAAGCATTTGGGAAATCGAAACCGGGTCTTCGGCAGTACGGGCGAACGCTTTAACCACTAGGCTACCCGACCGCCCCCAAGAGTGGCGTTAGACAGAAACGTACATGAGACTTATATGCATCCAAAATAGTAAGTAAAACAACGTAAGGGAATGGAGGAATGAAATGATTCACATTAACAAATAAAACAGATAATGTTTGATTGATCTAGTCAAGATCTGGTTATCTTGGAGATGGAGATTGGGTGCCTCGCTCCGACAGTGTGAGTTCGAATCCCAAGAGGAACTAAACCATCCCTCTCCACCATCCCAACACACACACATGCACGCGCGGGCACGCACACACACACACGAACACACATTGTAAGTACTAAAATGATACAACCAATGCACTGCTGATCAATTATCCCGGAGTGCTCTGTTGTGTTATTCGTTGCTGTTTGATG